CGGTGTTTAGTGGTCCCACACAAAACTTCTTAACAGCTTTAAAGATATCCAGTTCTATGCTTCTGCTCAACTTACATGTGGGAAAGGTATAATAGCTCCTGGATATATCAAAAGATTATATATATATATATTTATAATATATATATAACATACACCCTAAAACTATGGGAATTGTAACACTTGGTGGGGTTTGTGCTGTGGTGGTGGTAGGGGAGTAGAGTTAGAGGAAGAACTATAAAGAAACTTGAGATTTGGGGGGAAACTTTGAGTTCAGAAATTAGGACAGTTTAGGCTTGTCACCTGGGAGTCTGTGTTCCGAATGTAGGGTGAGGGGCACATCTATTCTGGAGGAATTAGATGAACAAAACAGGAAAGCAGTTAAGTTGGGTTTGGAGTGGGTATGGGAAGCGTAGTATTGAAATGGGATTGTGGGACAAACCTTCTTCCTCAGTAACCAAGGGAAATGAGAGTACTTATTCTCACCATGGACTCAAAAGTCAAAGAAAGAAGCACAATATAGGATCACAAAAATTGCAAGGGAAACTCAAAGATCAGGGCGAATTCTAAAATTCTGTTTTATGTTTCAATCTGGGGCACATGTGGCTGGGTGGGGCTGTGCTCATATAACCTGAATAACCACAGACAGGGCACCTTCTTCAGTCTTAGAAAATGTGGCTTAGACAGTCCTACAAACAGAGAAATCTGCAAGTACCATATGCCTTCTATCAAGACTTATTCACAATGTGACACACATTCCTTTCACAAAATGCTGACCACATTTCTCTAGAATACTATTTAATTTTCATGGCCTTTTCAACTCTTGTTATTAAAATAGAGAAAGAACATCTTTTGGGTACTACTCTTCCCTTACACCTCCTAAATTCTCATTGCCCTTAAGAAGGCCTTTAGAAAGAGAGGCCTTTGTGGGCAGCTGCAATAGATGAGAATATAAAGGAGTGGGAGAGGCTGAGGCTGGGATGAGAGCAAGAAGCTACTGAACATGTGATAAACTGAGAGGCTATACTGTGACTATGTGAGACTACTATTCCTGTGTACACTATTCCAGGGGGCTTCCTATAGTTTCTACCACAAAATTCCTCCACTGTGCAGCAATACTAGAGTTTTAAGTGATGGACAGAGAATGAGGGTGCAACAGGGGTAAGGATGCCCAACAAAAAGATAGCAGAGAAGTTCTGCTCTTTGGAAACTTGTTCCAGGAAGAGAAAAGTCTTTTCCCTAAAGACTGGAAATAGGATAAAAGTGGTTTGAGGGCCTTCTCTCCGGGGGATTATTATGGGGAATGCTTTTTACCAATTCAAACATACGAAAGCCAAAATCAATTTATCACCCAGATACCTATTTTCATAAATACTACTGTAAAGTAATGTTAGTAACTCTGTAAAGTAATGTAATGTTACAGCAATACTTAGAACATTATATAACTGGATGTACATATGTATTTTTCATGCATGTCTTTTCACTGGCAGTGGTTTTCGTTTTATTGCTGTGTGTGTGTATGTGTGTGTGTGTGGTCATCTCAAGCTGCTCACTGGACATTTCCATCTGACTTCTTTTGAAATCTCCAACTTAACCTTAACCTTTTGATCTCCAACTGAAACTGTCTAAACAAAACATCTCCTGACTTTCCTAGCTCCCTTTACATGCTCCTCTCCCTCATCCCTCTTAGGCAGCCAGTCACTCCATTTTATTAATCCTTCCTTTATAGTTTCTCTCATTCATTTCTTTTTCCATTATTATGGTGATTCTTTATTTAGGCCTTTATAATCTTGTGTTTGTATTACTAAAACTTCAAATTGGTCTTCTTTTCAGAGTATGAGATCCTCTAGGGTAGATAAAGTGGAATTCAGATAATGGAATGATTTTACTACCTCCAGTCACGCTTCACGCAAGGTAAGCTCAGGAAAGGGAAGGTCAGACCAGGAAAGGTGAGACAGGTTTGGGCGGAGTGGGCCAGAGAAGTCACAGAAGACTGGGCTCTAATCTCTGCTCCTTGGAAGCTGGAGCTAGGGGTGGAGATGCTTACTGCCAGGCAGGGTGAAAGGCGCTGAGTGAACTGAAGTGAGGCAGGTCAGAGAAGTAACTCAGGGATTGAGGTTGGAATTCCTGGTCTTTGGTATTTGCAGGTCAGAGTCGGGTCAACCCCTCTGGATGCTGTGCCCTGCCCTCTGGCTAAATATTTACCTCCACTTATGTGTGGCTTCAATTAGAGATAGCATAAGGTTGTTGAGGACAGATATTATACTTTTTCTTATAATTTATGAGTAATACCATATTTTATAGGTGATTTGTATTGTTGCCAATACAAATATTATTTTAATATTTTTTATTTCAGAGTCAAGTCTTTCAGCTCCTCCTTCAGACCCTTAATTTCCATTTGAATTCGTTCTGGAGCTGTTTGGTCATTAACGTTTCCTTGAGCTAAGTTACCTTAGAATTTATGGGACTGCTTCTGTCCAAAAAGAATACTATCTTCAGGAACAGATGTGTGCTAAATTGACTTTTGAAATATTCAACAATGTTGCCTGCAACAATACTATAGGTCTTCTTTTTTTTTTTTTGTGAGGAAGATCAGCCCTGAGCTAACATCCGTGCTAATCCTCCTCTTTTTGCTGAGGAAGACCAGCTCTGAGCTAACATCTATTGCCAATCCTCCTCCTTTTCTTCCCCCCAAAGCCCCAGTAGATAGTTGTATGTCATAGTTGCACATCCTTCCAGTTGCTGTATGTGGGACACGGCCTCAGCATGGCCGGAGAAGCGGTGCGTTGGTGTGCGCCCGGGATCCGAACCCGGGCCGCCAGCAGCGGAGCGCACGCACTTAACCACTAAGCCACGGGGCCGGCCCTATAGGTCTTCTTTTTAAAGTTTGTGTTTGAAACTTAAGTAGCTGTTACTTATTTTTCTCAGCATTTTAAAAAGAAAAATCCTGACTCTTTCATTTGGCCAGGAAACAAAGGTCTCTGTGTCTCAAGATCATCTCTAAATTCCCCATTTTAATCCCCCTCAGAATCTTGTCAGGCACTGTAATATTTTATGGTTTTAGCTGATATAAAATATTCCCAGAGACCAATACCAATTCGAATTTTAATACTGACCATTTTTAGCAGTTGTCTTTTCCTATTTTCAAAACTAGAAGCCTTTATGAGAAAAAATTCAAATAAAAATTTCTACTTTTGTTTCAAGTAATCTACTTTTGTTACAAATAAATGGATGTGAATACCTTCCTACTACTTTTTTTCACTTACTTACCTGTTAGTCTGCTGAGGCTGGATATATACATGCTCCAAAAGTCAGAGTATATGCTTCAAGTTCACTTTGTAGTAGGTTACTCTTCATCCCACGTGTCACAGAAATTTAGACATTAAACCTCAAAGTATGGGATAATATCACGTAGAAACATAGTCAAATAAGCTGTTTCAAATTCCAGATACAAATCCATCGAACCATCTATTCATCAATATTCTCTTACTACCACATTGTACCTAATAGATCAAATCAAACTTGGAATAACAAGATCAAACATTTCAACCCTAATTTGTTTTTAGTGCTTGAACTCTTGACGCTCAATCACTCCACCGAATGCGTCTTCATTGTTAACTTTAAATTATATGAATCACTAAGCACTGAATGAGCATTTGGGAGATCTGGTTGTGAGATCTTGCTATGCAAATAATTTGTTGGATGATTTTGGATGAGTCATTTAATCTCTCCTGTTCTTAATCTCCTCACTTAAAAATGAGGGGCTTGGAGTATTAGACAATTTCTAAGCTTCTTTTTGACTCCAAAGGTCTATGATTCTATTCCTAAAGAAGAAATCTGAATTAATTAGCGCAGACTTCTTGAAATTAACACCATCAACGGAAGGAACTTACTGAGTTTCATTTCTTTGTGTGACATAATTGGACATACTGATACTGAATACTTTCAAGAAGGCAGTGGGGAGTTACACTTACCTCTGCAATTTTCTACTGATTCATGTAGGAATGCCAAGGCATTCTTACTTCTAGTCTGACTCAACCTTAGTAAAAGATATGACTCCTTTTTAGTAAAAGAATTGATTCTTGGGTTAAACCAATGTGTGGATTAGTGGATCATTGTCAGAGAATGACTTCTTAGGGCCCTATCCTTGGCCCATGGCCCTTCTTAGCACCTTTGTTAGTGACCTGAAGGAAACATATTTTCCAAATCAAACTTGGGAGAAATATCTAATATGTTAAGGCAACAGAATCACGATTCAAAAGAATCTCAATGAGGCTTTTCAAACAGGCCAAAAGCAAGAAGATCGAAACTAACAGGGCCAAAGGCTAAGTCCGATATTTGATTCCAAAAACATCAGCTATCCAAATACAGAATGGAGAACTAGCTTGACAACAGCTGCATCCTCCCCTCTCCTTTCCTGTCTTGCCGCCTCCTAATCTAGCTCAACCGAGCCCCGCAAGGAGCTGATGGTGCTGCACAAAATCTTAAAATGTGAATACATGCTCCAGGTCCATTAACAACAGCGTTCAGATCAAAGAAAGAAAGTGCGCTCCTAAGTCCTCTACAAATCAAGCCTCACCTGCAGATAGGGATCTGGCTGGGGCATCATACTTAATAAGCCTATGACGAATCCTTCTCGATACGTGCATATTCCGTACAGTCTGCGTCAAGAATTTGAAACCAAGTCACGTGAAGAGTGCTTGAGGGTCTAGGGAGTCTGTTCGGAGAGGGTAAAGGCGGGAAGGACGAACGTCTTTTAGAAGAGAGCAAGGTGAGCGAGGAAGGCCGGCGGCGGCAAGAGGCTCACTAACAGGAAACGCGCCCGGCGCCGTCGGATGGGCCGAGCGAGGCGCGGGCGGGCGGGCTGCGCGCGTTCCCCGGCGCCCGGAGCCAGGCGGCGGCCGCGCGCCCGTGACGAGCCGTGACGCCTCAATGGTTGCCGGGTGGCGGCGCGCGGGTTCGGCGTCGGGCGGCTCGTCTCTTCTACGCGCCTGTGGTCGGAGCGGGCGGCTGCGACTGCGCCTTGGGCGGCCGTCGGGCCGAGAACCATGAGCCCCGGGGGCGCGGGCTGCTCGGCCGGGCTGCTGCTGACGGTCGGCTGGCTGCTCCTGGCCGGCCTGCAGGGCGTGTGCGGGGCCAACTTCACGGCCGCCCAGGATCCCGGCCTGGGCCGCGAGGGCGAGGGCGCGGGCGAGGGCGAGGAGGAGGCCGAGAGCGACGGCGAGGATCAGAACGAGAACGAGCCCGAGGCCGAGCCCGAGGAGGATGGTGAGGGGGAGGCTCCTGGCGGGGACCCCGAGGCAGCTGTCGAGGGCACAGCCCGGCTCCTTTCCGAGGACAATGAGAATTTTCCGTGTTAACATTTGTAGAGCTCTCTCGCAAACAGCCCCGAATTTATACATTTTTCACGCACCTCATGGCCTTGAAGAAAGATGTGCTGATTCTCCAAGGCCGCAGTGAGATAAACAAATAAGCGCATACTATTCTATAGAAATTGCTACCGAAATGCTGCTGAGTATTGCTCTGGACAAGGAAAATATGCTCCCCCCACCCCGCCTTATTTTTAAGGGCTAGGAGTTGGGGAGTAACTTGCCACCACTGGGAATTATTTTGACTCCCGTTGCAGTTGCGTTTTTCCTTCCCATTGTAGTTTGCTTTGTTTTTGTTTTTTTTTAAGTTCCAAATTGCTTGAGGTCTTCCTCCTTTCCACATTTGCACTTTGGGTTGTAACTCAACGGAATTCAGAATTCCCTTCACTGTGACACATCTAGGTAGACCAGTGTGCTGACAAAACTGCCCAGAAGCCCCATCCTTGAGCACCTCTGCAGCGTGGTACAGTGTTCTTCCTTTGTTCACCTTCCAACCACAAAGGAATGGTGGTGTAGAAAACGCCCATCAACGGATCTAGCTAGTGGCTTTGTTGAATGATAGGTGTTAACCAAGGGAGCACGAGCCTGTGCTTGGTGCATAAATTTGCTTTATTCTACCGGCTCTTTAAGCAATAAAACTTGACAAGCTGTTATATTGATCATATGTGGGTAGGTAAGAGGTCAGTTGCAGGTTTGCAGCCATTTAAAGGAGAATGATTCCCTTCCCCCATAAATGCCCCAGCTGAGATCCTTTTAATATCCTTGGCAGTCTCATTTCTCCTGTACATATAGAGTAGGTGCTGTATTTATCAGCTTTTCTTTTATTTCCTGATGACAGATAGTGACCCTCAGCGACAGAAATAAATTGACTGTCTGAGGTTAATGATGGGATGGAGGTTTGGTCTGCTTTGATAACATTACATTGCAGAGAGCTTGGAGAGGTCCTTGACTTTGAAAATGTGAGAAGGAAAGAGGACTAGGGAAGCAAAGAACATGTTCTAAAGCATAGTAACTATTGCTTCACTCTAGTTTTAAAAGTAATTGAATTAACAATTTTAGTATTGAACTGGCCAAGGAATAGTTAGTTCTAGCTGTAAAATGCTAAATAAAGTTTAGCCTAAAGCCAGGCGATGGAGTTTTTAATAACTTAGATTCAAATTCAAATGTAGGCAAGTTATTTATTCTCTCAAGGTCTCAGTTTCCTCACCTGTGAACTTCAGGGAATCCGTGTACCTTCTGAAATTTTATATATACAATTTCATGCATAGCTGCTTTTTCCTTGGGAGAGTGAGAATCCAGAACTTTAAACAATCTGAGGTGTCTGAGATCTGAAAATTTCCAGATCCATTATTAAAATTTGGTGAAGCCCCTCTTAACCCTCCGTGGACCAGTAAAAACAGTTATCATCATTTACTATCCAATGGACTCATTTTATTGTTTTTACTTTTAAGGCATTTTACCAATAATTTACGAAAGTAAGAATTAAAGGGTTAGTGAAAACAGCTTATTTGAAATTTTAATAAGAATTTAAACATGAAAAACCCCAAATTTTTATTCCGTATTTCCTGGTTTTGAAGATGTATATACCCTAAATGGGCAGAGTACTTTGAATGCAACTAAATGCTCATCAACTGTTATGCATCAATCTGGAATGTATCCATCTTGTAAGTACTGATTCCAGATTTCAAGTACATTGCTGATAGATTCTAGCATCTCATTACTCTGGTTCTTTTTGCACTTGAATTGTCAAAACACAATACTTTCGAAAACTATGAAGGCACATATTCTGTTGAAGAAAAGGCTGCCATCTTCTTTGCTCCATAATTGCCAAACGTTTTCATTTTAAATTTATAAACACTAATTAGAATGATTGGTCCAATGAATTTTATTCATTTCCACATCATCTATTTTCTTTCAATCACCTCTGCATACACACCTGCCATCATGATTTGTCCATTTACAAACCTTATCAAGTAAATTTTGGCGTGTGTAAACAGCTTTAAAAAAGGAAGAATACTGTCCATATTCTTTTAGTAAAACAGTGTGGTCCAACTTATTTTCACAAACTATTTCAGAATCAAATCCTTCCTGTTGAAAGACTACCTGCATAAGAATACCATCTACCTTTTTATCCTTAGAAATATAGTGTTCATTTGTTGATTCTTGAGTTAGAGAAAATTCGTCTAGGATATTCTCTAAGATATCATCATCTCTCACTCATTTTGCTTATGCAATCAATTTCACCATCATTATTAGCATCTAAAGTGCTGCTGTCTGTCTATGTTCATCTTCTGATTTATCCAATAATTGTGAGATGTTTTTCTCTGTGAATTTTCTTCTCTTTGCCATTATGGACAAAAAAAAATTCTAAAATCTCAACTATGTTCAATGAAAGCTGAAAATAAACTACGAGAAAGGTGCCTCTAGACTTCTTTTACATCTTTCTGAAAGATGATGCAAAACTTTGGGCAAAGCGATAAGAAAACAAAGGATGATGTAATGGCTATGATTTATTTCACAATTACATCGTCTCTCTAGGCAGTTCTAACCATTCTTCCATTTTATTATTTTAGTCTTTTTAAAAACATGGTTGGGAGTAATGGGTGAATAGTAATGAGATCCATCATTATTGATGATGAAATGGCAAAATGTTTCAAAATATAGGGAAAATCGCTTAGGATATTATGTTAGATTTATACTTATACCTTTTGTGCCCCATACCTTTTATACCTGTTATGTACCCTTATGCCTTTTTATAAATCTAAGGGTATACCTATACCTATACCCTTAGATTTATAAAAGAGACCAACAATAGACCTACGTAATAATTGCAAGATAGAATGAGTTTTATTCTATAAAGTGAGTTTTATCCTGTGTAAATATATTTTCTCTTTTTCTTTGGAAAACCTCTAAAAAAGAATAAAAGTCATGAAATAGCAACCTTACACATCAACTCTCAAAAAAGAAACTCAAAAATTAAAATTGGACTCTGATGGTATATACCAACAGTTAAAGTGTGCTATCCAGAATTCAAGAGAACATTCCAGGAACTGGCCAAAACAAAAAAGAGCAGGATCATTATCTGCATCATTGTGGATGCCAGGCTTTTATCAGCACAGTCTAAGACCCGGTAGATTCTTAGGGAAGCCTCGTCACACTCCTGACTCCTGTTGAACCCTCTACTCATTTCCACTGTTCTATCAAATTGGGACAGCCTATCCAGTATTTTGGGGACAGTTGACTTTTCAGCTCTACGTTCAAGACTTTTATTTCTCTAAGGTTTCATTTTGTTAAATTTGCCCGTTATTCCACCCTGTCATTTTTAGATACAGATTTATCTGCAAACATATTTGCTATCCTTCCTAGTTTAGCAGAATCCCTGGATTCAGTCAGTATAATATCAATATTTTCCAAGTCATTAGTAAAAATGTTGAACAGGGCAGAATCCTGTGACACATCACTCCTTCCACATTGACACCAGCCAATTAATTAGCATCAGTGGATTTTCCTGTTTAAGTTACACATACAACTTTACTGACATTCAGACTATATTTTCCCTTTTTACTTATAGGTATATAATGGGAAATTTTGACAAATACCACACTGAAGTCTAGATATAATTTCCCTGACCCGCCATTGTAGGATTCCCATCAAAAAAGAAAGTCATTGAATGACCTAGTGGGAACTCAATACTCAAAGCCGAACAGGACTTTAGAGACCATCTGATTAAATCTCATTTTTTTCCCCTAAAGTTGAGAGAACTTAAGTAACTTTCCTAAAGTAGCATAGGTAGTGAGTAGTAGAGCTGATTGGTTGTTTTTTGAATGGTTTTTGAAAAGAGGTTATATTTAAAAGTAGTTTAGTACTCATTCTCCTACTTGTATGCCAGCACAAAGTATCCAAGCATGTCAAGCAAAAATCTCAATTCAAAATTGATCAGCATGATAATCCAAAAAATTTATTTAACAAAATCAATTTTGATTTACTTAACGTATATACGTGAAGTGTCCCTATGTATTCAAGTCACTGTATTTGGTGCTTGTAAGTGTAGAAGTGTTTATGAAAATATTGTCTTAAAGTAATTAAAATATGAAAAAATCTTAGAATTATATGAAATAATAAGTATAACATGAGAGCGAATGAAGATATCTTAAGCATGTTTAAAGTACTAAACAAGTTACAGAATGCTTTCACACACATTATCTCATTTAATTCTTACAATAATCAAATAAAATAAGTTCTCCTTTCCAAATTTTACAGAAGGGTTAGCTAGGCCTGATGGAGTTTAAGTAATTTGCTCAAACTCAAAATAGCTAATAAGTGGTAGAAGAAGCAATTTGGACTCCAACTCTGATGCCCTTTCCCATGTTATATTCTTGCCTCAGGATACAATGCCTTTTAAAAATTATCTTCTAACACCTCATTTAATAATTTTTTCTATTGCGATTTTAGTCCTCATCTGAGCTATGAAGAATTGGTTATATACTACAGCTAGTGGAATTCATGCCAAACTTCAGAACGATTAGAAAAAGAGAAACATCTTATTATGTGATTAAACCCAACAAGATTTAGCTACTCAAATACTTGTATGTCTCTCGATTATCCTGCTAAATAAAGTGTTGAAATAAATTCTTAGAAATAATTTACTATCTTATCCTGAGAATGAGTAGAAACAATCTATAACATAAAATGAACACTTGGTATAAAGATTTCTTTTTGGATGGAAATGATGCACTCAAATGTTTTAGATAATAGAGAACAGAAAAACTTAGGCCTTACAATTGGCAGGCTTTTTTGTGTTTTTCTGACCTTCTGTAGAACTTTAACTCACCATGTATTAAACTGATGAAAAAAATTGTTTTTAAGTTACATACAAGGTTTAAATTCTTTGCAAGTTATTTCCTAATTTAATTCGTTACTTTAAAGGTTTAGGCTTCTTTTGATTTAAACAATAATAGATGTAAGGAATGGCATTGCTTTTCTGATTTCATAAAACTTAAAAAATGTCTGCTTCCCATATGATAAGTGCTTGTATCCTCCATCCCCAAGTAAGAATTTTTCACTTAGTAAAGTTTTCATATGATTAAATAATGTATCTTTGCACAAGATTTAACTACTCAAATACTTGTATGTTTAGTTTCAAATAGGACAGTAGTCAAAGAAGTCGAGTTTGGCATGTGCACCGTTACGTGTGGTAAGTAGCATAGAGCAGATAAATAAGCATGTTGTAATTTTAGGGGGAGGGAAGATAAAAACAGTGTGGCAATTTTTATTTGTAATTTATGTACTCTCATTCATCTCATTGATTTCTATTTCTAATAACTATGATTTAGGCACAAAACTCAAACTGATTGCTTTAAAAAGGTAGGATATTTTCAGTTCATAACCTCTAAGTCTTATTTTAAGCCAGCTCCCCATATATTTTTTGGCACATAAACTGCCTTCACCAAAGTAAAACTTGGTCTCACAGATGTTCAGAAGATGAAAGATCTTCCGATGCATCTCACAGATGTCTTCCCACATACTGTATTGGCAAATCTATCAAGAAATTTGCTTCTTTGTAATAGTCTATTCTAAATTCTACATTTCTCCAATTTATATGTTACTTCTTGGAGAAAAGAGATATTGGCTTTGTGGGAAGATAACATTAAAGACTATGATTTATTTAGAACATTCCATGAATAGACATTGGACATAAAATGCCTTACATGGGATGGGATTAGGGCCACACATGCTAAACAGACCAGTGTTTCTCAGACTCAAGTGTTCATCTCAAGTGCCTGAAGGGCTTGTTAAAACACAGATTGCTGGGCCTACCCCGGAGTTTCTAACTCCCTAGGTCTTTGGAGGGGCCTAAGAATTTATATTTCTAAACAAGTTCACAAATGAAGCTGATGCTGCTGGTTAGAAGACCGTCTTTTGAAAACCACTGTAGACTAGTGTGCTGAGAAGACAATAGATAATTCACAATGAAATTAAGTTTATTCTAAATTGAATCTGCCTTGGAAAAAAGACAGTGATGGGAGAGAAAGACAAAAACCAGAGGGTAAGGAGACAGAAAATCTATGCAGATCTAGATCAGGACAATTTTTGGGGGGAGGTCAGAAATTACATCTGAATTGTTTTTATTTGAAATAGCATTTTATGTTTTTACCTAACATAAATTTTACTATTTTAATCATTTTTAAATTTAAATTGTACATCTTAAATGTACAATTCAGTGACATTTAGCACGCTCACATTTTTTTTCTTTTTTTTTTAAATTTTTTGTTTATTGCAGTAACATTGGTTTACAACATTGTATAAATTTCAGGTGTACATCATTATACTTCTATTTCTGCATAGATTACATCATGTTCACCACCCAAATACTAATTACAACCCATCACCACACAAATGTGCCGAATTATCCCTTTCGCCCTCCTCCCTCCCCCCTTCTCCTCTGGTAACCACCAATCCAATCTCTGTCTCTATGTGTTTGTTTGTTGTTGTTATTATCTACTACTTAATGAGGGAGATCATACGGTATTTGACCTCCCTCTGACTTATTTCACTTTGCATAATACCCTCAGTGTCCATCCATGTTGTCACAAATGGCTGGATTTCATCGTTTCTTATGGCTGAGTAGTATTCAATTGTGTATATATACCACATCTTTATCCATTCGTCCCTTGATGGGCACTTAGGTTAGCACGCTCACATTGATGTGCAACCAGCACCACCATTCATTTCCAGAACTTTTTCAGCATCCCAAACTAACACCTCTGTACCCATTAAACACTAACTCCTCGCCCACCCCACCCCATCCCCCGACCCTCCCCTGGCAACCACTATTCTACTTTCTGTCTCTTGAGATACTTTTAAACCTGTTTTTTACCTTAACTTCTTAGTGAGAGAGTCAGGAAATGTGAGGAATGCATGTAATAAACCTGTGATTATTCATTTGCAATTTACATCTTTCTTCTGCTTACTTGAGAAATTTTCACAGGCAGAGATTATTTTTATGACAATTCTAGTAATTGATATTGTCTTACTCTATTATTTAAAGATGTGTTTCAGAAATTATATGTTATATTTGTTCATTCAACAAATGATTTTCTGGGTTGGTTTTTTTTTTTGGATTTTTTGCCTACTGTGTGCCAGGCATTGTTATAGGTGCTGAGGATACAGCAGTGAACAAAGCAGAGCAGACTCTCTGCCTTCAAGGAGTGTACGTTTTAGTAGAGGCAAAGAGATAATATGTAAAACATGTAATATGTCAGATGGCGATAAGTTCTAAGGAGAAAAATAAATCAGAAAATGCAGTATTTCACATCTAAAATATTTTTAAAATCTTTTCCATTTATAACAGAACCATTTAGAGGGAAAAAATGCTTTAGTGAAAATTCCATTGAACTCCCAAAACAATATTTTAGCAGTCAAAAAGTTTTCTTTTCCTGGAACACATTAAGTGTTACTTGGACTTACAGAAAATCTCACACCTACACACATCATCGCAATGAACTATATTTGGCTAAATAAATAAATACATAAAACACCTGCTTGGAAAATATTTATGCATTTCAGAATAAGGCTGTGCTTCTAGAGAGGTACCTTTCATAAATTGAAGTGGAGCCATACTGCAGCCATTCTTAGGCATCTCTTTTAATCCAGAGACTTTTCCTCTTCCAACCTCCTATGTCCTTATCTCAAGTGGAGTCGTCTCCCTTGGTACTCAAAGTTTGGTCCACAGACCAGCTGCAGCAGCATCACCTGGCAGCTTGTTAGAAATGCGGAGTCTTGGGACGGACTCCAGACCTGGTGAGTCAGAATTTGTGTGTTAGTAAAATCTCCAGGTGATTTGCATGGAGGGGCTGAAAGGGGGAATCTGGTAGACAAGGAAATCAAGATGGACTGTTCCTTAGCCTGTGACTACACAATATTGTCACAGGTCCTTTATCACGTGTTCAGCCCTGATCCAGCATTTTAGCATCTCCCTCAGTTCTGGTGATGAAAGGCAAATTCAGTGGAGATCTGAGATCAGTTGGTAAAGACTTAATTTCTTGTTATAAAACAATGTGGCAATTCTAAAGAAAGTATCTTGTTGGAAATGGAAATTCGGTCATTAATAGTTTGCCCTGTTATATTTAATACAGAGACTTTACCAATCTAAATATTAAAAAGCATCATTATGTTAAAATGTGATTTGGGAATTTCCTCCAGAAGTTCCAAACTCCCCCTCCTAAAAATTCCATGGTCAAAAAAATTGGGGAGATCCTGTGTACTACTTACTGTATTTCATCAAATCTAAGACTTTATTGGCTGTAAGAAGCACATTTTATGCACCTCTAAAAAGGAAAATATTGCCAATTTGTGACACGCTGTCGATTCTAAGATGTATTTTGATTTCAAAGATGTTAAAATATAAAATTTTTACGTATTAGATCCGTGAAAATTTACACACAATAGCACATTAATTTATTAGCATATTAAAAGTTCCCCCTAAATTCTGTAGTAAGAGGTCCCTTTAATTATACACATTTTCAAATGTGTATAATCATGGAATCCTTTTTCTTATGGTAACAACCAGAGGAACTAGTGTTTCATGTAACTCACTTTGGGAAATGCTGTTTTATGAAATAATTCAAAGTGAGGGGCCTAAACAATTTCTAAATATAGTCACCTGAATTTAGGAATTTAATTTCTGAAATTAGGAGAAAAGTCTCAAAAAAGACCTAAGTAGAAAAGTAAAGAAACTCTGCAATTGTTTTTACTTAACATTTGCCAATTTCTTTTACCAAAGGTATTGGTATTAGAGAAGTTATATTAACAAATGGATGCCCTGGAGGAGAATCCAAGTGCATTGTGCGCGTGGAAGAATGCCGGGCAGCGGTCGACTGTGGCTGTGAGTTGGACTCCGTATTGGAGGGAGACTGAGGGGGGAGGAGTTTACTCTGGGGAAATGTCCTTAAGCTCAGGTTGCCATGAGTGGAAGGAGATGATCAATTGATAGGAACTGAAAGGAAATTTGAATAAAACTTAAAATTCCACTTCTCTAGACAGGTATAGCTCTGAGTGACTTTCTGCTTTTGCTTTACATTTTTCAGTGATGTCTAAATTTAACATATATTTTCTATAATACACTGCAACCTTATGGTACTCAGGGTCTGTGGTTGAGTCTGGCCTATAGTGAAACACTTTTGACACTTTGGTCATGACATTTTATCAGTAGATTGGTAAACCCTAAATTGGGAACTTTGAGAGCTGTTCTATATCAAATTACACTACTCTGAGATTTCTTTATCTCTGGTGGGGTTCCCTAACCAGTAAATTGGAAGCTATTAGAGGATTACAAAGTTTAAGCAAATAGATTGGTGAGTTGGTTGCCCCTGCTAAACCTCTTCTCCACAGTTTATTCTGCAGAGGGGGCAGACAGCTATGGTGTCTCCGACCTGCCTCTTTCGGTGACTTTATCTTTGTAGCCCTCACTCCTCTACTCCGCTACAGAGACTGTCATTAATAAGTTTGATAACTTCCAGCATATAGTTGGTTTTTAAATTAGAGGTGGCTTTTAAAAGTAGTATTGTGTATAAAGCAACTTACAATGCCCAGTGGTATATATGTATTTAATTTTTCCTTTTTTCAGGGGGTAAACCAGTTTCAGAAAGTCTTGAAAGTGTTAGTCTGGAATGTATTCATACATCTCCTATAAATCGTTTCAAATATATTTGGAAACTTCTAAGGCCAAATGAAGTGAGTAAGGAATGCATGTAATTTGGTGCTTTCTTGCGAGTGATAAAATTTGTTTCCCAGTGCTTGATGACTATCGGAAAACTTTCTCTTTAAAAGCAGTTTGCAAAAATGAAGTTAAAATCATACAACTTTATTATTACTGGGATTTAAAATTTTTCATTATTTAGTGGGGCTAAGACTTTACCTATGTCTTAGGGTCAGCTATTATCAGAACTTGAAAACATCCATTTTATATAAAGTATTCTATTTTGGAAGCAAAGTTTTCATTTGTTTACAAATATAGTAGTTGTATAATGATAACTGTAGCTAACATTAATTGAGAGCTTATTAAGTGCCAGACATATACCGAGTGCTAGAGTTTCTTTTAACTCACATGACAATTCTGTGAGGTAATTCCTATTATTATACCCATTTTACATGTAAGTAACTGAGATGCAAAGAGTAACTCCTCCTGGGCTACACAGGCAGGAAGTGGTAGGGTTGGTATTTGATGTCTGGATGGTTGGACTCTAAAATTCATGTGCATAATTAACTACTCTCCTGGACTGAGAGTCAATGACTCTTCTTTTATTACAGGAAATAAATTGTTTCCTAATCTTAAATTTACATGAAGAATGTTGATTTATTTTTTTTCTTTTAAAATAGCAAGCCATTGTACTTCCAAATGATTCAGCAATCCTGGAAGTACACAGGGAAACTCGCCCCTTGGCTTTCCAGTGTGAGACCTTGGATAATAATGAAATAGTAGCATCTATTAAATTCACAATCTATACAACAAGTGGTAAGTGCCCAGCAATGTTTTGGTTTGCTTATGTCTCAAACTTTAAAAAGTATCACAATCACCTGGAGGCCTTGTTGAAACACAGATTGCTAGCCCCACCCTCAGAGCTTTTGTTTCAGGTAGATTGAGTGGGGCTGGCACAAGAATTTGCGTTTCTAACAAGTTCCCAGGTGCTGCTGGTCCAGAGACCACATTTTGAGAAGCACTGGTTTAGATCATTTAGACTTTCCTACAAGGTAGTGCTTAACTTATTTTTCACAAAGTAGAGTCAGATGTGCCTCACTTTGGGAAACTGGTATATTCCTGAAGTATCTCCAAAGAACAGTCCTCTAACTTGAATTATATCCTTACTTTTACTTCTATCACAAAAGTGAAATGGATATATGAAATTCTTATGGATGCTTACAAGAATTTTGGTACAGTAAAATAAATGATATTAAGAAACATTATGTCAAAGCATGTCTCTTTAAAAATTATTCATTTGCAGAAAATATTTTTTGATGAAACACTAATACAGTCCTCGATATATGTCACAAAAGGCAAATCTCGCTCTGAACATAATTTTACATGTTAGAAACTGTGCTTCCCTTGCAAAATGGATCCGCCTGTATGTTCTTTCCATTTAAACTATGGTGTCTTCTATATCCAAATAATTATTTCCTTTGGTTCAGTTGCTCTTACCCATTTTTATTGTTGTTGACATCTTTGTTGTTGGGGGTGTGGCAGGTCTGGTCACATGTTCTTCTGAGAATCTGATCAGGGCTCAAGAGGGTTTTCCTAGAAAAATGCCCACATGTACAAACATGCCAAAATGTACCTATAATTTTAAGGGAGTTCATGGATATCTTGAAGTTATTTCTCAATAACTTCAAGTAAAGAACTTATGCTGTAGTTTAGCGATACCATCCAACATAACACTCTTTATTGAAATGGAAACACGCTAAGTGTTTTAGGGGTGATTTTAAAAAATAAACTATTTATAACTTTCTTTGATGTGTTTGTTACTAGTCTATAAAAAACATCTCTATGGTGAAAGCTAATAATCTTACTCCTATGTTGGGATATCAGGTGTTATTAAAAGGATAATTTCAATAAAGTACTATAAGAGGCAAAAAAGAACCAAACATCATCAAACTAAAAAATATCTCAATGAGTCCTAGTTCAGGATATTAAAGGTTTCGGGGGCCATTCTCAGTGTTGGTCTCCACAGCCTGGTCCTTGTTAGGACCGCTCAGTGGTTTTCTCTTCCCATCATTAGAAGGTTATATGCATTTGATAATGCATAAGCTAAAGGCTGGGACACAGACCCAAAATGCCAGCCCTTAAATGAGGCAAAGTTGACTTCTCTCTCTGGCAGTCCAGGCCTGGTGGGGTAGCTCTGCCACTGCAGCACATGCGCTGGTTAAATAACAAAATGTTTTCAGAACACTTTATTATCTATTAGTTTCTTTTAAAAATGACAATGGGCTACACCACTGCAACAGACCCTTTTGGCTATTTAGACGTTAAACAAATGTTTTGGCTATAAATGTCCACACAGTATGGTACTGGCTTAAAACAAATACATAACTGAAATATTTTTAGAGTAAATATAGTTTACTTAATGAAAATTTCCCATCTATCAGATTTTGCACTTCCACAATAGTTGTCTTTCATAATTAGGCATTGTTTTGGATTGAATTGGGTCCCCGTAAAAAGATACTTTCAAGTCCTAACTCCCAGAACTTCAGAATGTGACTGTATTTGGAAATAGGGTCCTTGCAGATGTAATTGGTTCAGTTAGGATAAGGTCATACATACTGGAGTAGAGTGGGCCTTTAGTTCAATATGACTGGTATCCTTATAAGAAGAGGGAATTTAGGACACAGACACATAGAGAGAGAATGCCATGTGAAGACACAAAGACACACAGAGTGAAGACAGCCATGAAAGTCGGAGACAGAGGCTGGAGTCATGCTGCCACAAGCCAAGGAGCATCTGGGGCCGCCAGATGCTGAAAGAGGAATGGAGGGATGCTCCCCCCGGGACTTTGGAGGGAGTGTGGCCTTACCAACACTTTGTATGCAGGCAGACTTCTGGCCTTCAGAACTCTGAGATAATAAATTTCTGTTGTTTTAAAGTCATCCAGTTTGTGGTACTTTGTTATGGTAGCCCTAGGAAACTAATACAAACATAAGCTTAGTTTTCCTAAAAAGTGAGAACATTGAAATTCAGCCTATTTTGCATTAGAAAATTTCGACAAGAAATGCAGTCTATTTTTAAAATTAGATATAAAAGTAATCTAAGTAACCCTTGCATGATTAGTGTTGAAATGAACTAAAATCTTCGTACCCCTAATATTTCACCCTCCGTTCGCTAGTATTACAGAGAAGTAGATAAATGGAAAGGAATTTTGCATGCCTTCTTCTCTGGTTTTAATCCTAAAATGTGTCTTTTATTTGAGCTTAAAAAATCCCACTGCTTCTATTTACCTAAAATTATCAAAAATAAAAAGATTTTTAAAATCCAACATTGTCGGAATTTAAATATGGTGTAATTTCTCTGTCATACTTGAGATGTTTAGTGAGATCACTAAATTGAGTTTATAGCTCTAGAATTACTAAGGAAAATGGAAAATTATACTTTCTGGTGTTTAAAGAGTGGGAAGAAAATCCAGACAAATAAGTAGTTGAGATTACCCCTACAGGAGATGACTTCTGATAGAGTGGTACTTACCAAAATTAAAATATTAAAATGCATAAAACATAGCCTGCACACATCATTAAACCTCCCTGGACATTGGTTTACTCCTCTGTATAATTCAATACTTGCATCAGATGATCTCTCTGGTCCTTCCCTACTTGAATCTTTTATGATTCTGTGATTTAGGGACCAGGAAGAGCCACAAGAAAGCTATATAATTCACAATTCCAAAGTAAGTAATACTTGATGTAAATTGACTTTTCACCAATTTATAATGTAGCGATATTATAAGACATATGGTAGACTGGTTTTGTCTCTTTAATAGCCTTATTTGCAGGAAGAGCAGAAAGTTATGGGAGAGAATGCCTGATTTAAAAGTGGTGTGTGGATATTTGTATGAAAAAGAATGAGCTTCAACCCCTACCTGACAACCTATACAAAAATTAGAGATGTATCATAGTCCTAAATGTAAAAGACAAAACCATAAAGCTTTACAAAGGAAACAAAGGAGAATATCTGTGTGATTCAGGAGTAGGCAAGGGTTTCTTAGACATGACTCAGAAAACAATCACTATAAAAGGAAACACTGATAAATTAGGCTTCATCAAAATTAAAAATTTCAGTTCATTAAAAGAAATCATTAGGAAAACGAATAGGCAAGCCAAAATCTGGGAGAAAAAGTTCACAAAACACGTACAACCAGTACAATCAGTTTGGGAAAAGATCTTGCAGTTTCTTGGAAAACTAAGCGTACCTCCACACTATGACCCAGCAGTTCCACTCTTAGGTATTTATCCAAGAGATATGAAAATGTGTGTTCACAAAATGACTTGTACAAGAATGTTCATAGCAGTTTATTTATAATAGTTCCAAACTGGAAAAGCCTAAGTGTCCATTGGTAGGAGAATGAATAAACAAATTGAGGAATACTACTCAGTAATAAAAAAGAAGAAAACTACTGTTACATGCAACAATGTGGGTGAATCTCTAAAACATTACGCTGAGTAAAAAAGCCTTACACAGAATAATACACAGTGCATGTTTCCATTCCTATGAAGTTCTAGAACAGACAGAACTAATCTATGGTGGAAAAGAAAATCAGGGGCAGTAGTTGCCTCTGGAGGATGGGGCATGGTTGAACAGGGAGGGGCTTGAGGGAACTTTCTGGGGACAGTAATATTCTGTGTCTTGATAGGAGTTTGAATTACATATGTGTGTTTACATTTGCTAAAACTAAACAAATATACATTTAAGATCTTTGTGCAATTCATTGTCTGTAAATTTTACCTCAGAAGAAAAAGTATAAACAAATATTGAACTCTAGTTAATGGTATGCCTATTGAAGCATATTGCAGGAAGTGTGCAGACATCAGCAAATTATGTTGAAATGCATCAAAAATATAAGAGATCAATGGATTAATATAAGGATGGATAGACGGTTAGTAAAATATTGATGGTAGCATGTAGGTGGTGGGAATACAGGATGTTCATTGTCAAATTCTTTCAACTTTTCTGCATGTTTGAAAAGGACATTTCAAACCTACAGAGCAAGTTCATTAATAACTTTTTTCCCACTAATTCTTTCTGTATTTTTCTAGAGTTGTTTTTCAGATATAAAGTTTCCATTTATATGTTCATTTCCTTTTTTATCCCCGTAGTAGTAATCATCAAGTGTGTGTCTTTTTCTCTAGAAATGCAAATGAGAAGATCAGTCCGACCAGACACTGATGCAGTCCTAGTTTTTGTGCTGACCGTAGGAGTTGTTGTGTGTATATTCGTGATCTTTGTACTGATCTTCATAATTATAAACTGGTAGGTGAAGAACTGAAACTGAGTCATCACACTTGATTGACGTCCTCCTCGTCTGCCCCTCCCTTGTCCAGTGAATCCAAAGCCTGGTCCATGATGCCTCTCACATGTGTCTTGAAACTGTCCAACTCCCTTCATTCCTCCTGCGACTATCCTAGTTCAGACTACTTAATCTCATGACTTGCTTCCCCAGCCATGAGAGAGCTTTTAAATGCAATTTTTACAATTTTACATAGTAGTTACATATGTAGTAACATGGTATGTTACATAATAGTAACATATGTAGTTACATAGTAGTTACATTGTTAAAAAAAGTTTATTGAATATTTGTGTTGTCCAGTTGTAGTTCTCACAACTTAAAACTTGGTTATTATAACCTATGAATTCATTTATATGGGAATATTTCTAATACATACATGAGTATTACACCATGGTACATCTGAGGGCTCATCTGCTATCATAATAAGGCTGATGCACCACAAACTAAAAATAAATCATGACTAATGAGGCACTTCTATAGATAGAAAATTAAATATAAATCTATTTGGTTTTAGTTTTCATTTCATAGTAAAATTTTGTTTTTGTTTTTTCTTCCAGGGCTGCAGTCAAGTCATTCTGGGGGGCAAAAACCTCAACAACTGAGATACAGTCTGAGCTGAGTTCAATGAGATACAAAGATTCAACTTCTCTTGACCAATCACCAACAGAAATACCAGGACATGAAGAGGATGCTTTAAGTGAATGGAATGAATGATGTATGGATGACATATAACAAACCAAAGGAGATTAGAGAGTGTTAGATTCATTACTATAAAAATAAAATATGTAGTGAAATACTTTAATAATATTGCAAGTAATTTGCCACAGTCTTTTTACAATTTACACAGTCTACTTACAATTTACCAGACAAATGTAAAGCCTTGCGTGTTTGGCTTTCTCCCCACTGGGAACACTGGATTGAACTTGCTAAAGCAAATCCTACTCTAGGTTCTCTGCAGGACGTGTGACATACAAAGTATCACTTGTAAGATATGAAATAATAATAGTAATAACAAGGATAACAACCAACACTTTGTCAATGACTACTATGTGCCAAGCATTGCTCAAGAATCTTACATCTGTTAGGTAACTTAATTATGATTGTATATAGGAAATATGTAAGGAAGAACTGGAGAGGAACTTGGAGGTGGCTGAGTAAATAACATGAATTTAACATGCCCTGTATTTCTCACAGAAACAGTAAATTAAGGACTTTTGAATGACCACTGGTAAGTACCTTCATTGTGCTTGATACACAGGTAATAACATCTCAAAACCACGGTACTTATTTCTGAACATCATCACTGCCTTTTTGTGCTGTGTCATTATATGACACAGCTATGGCCAACTATCAAACAAGATGTGAAGGCATTAGATAATTTGATTTGATAGACTTCATCAGAAATTAATTTTCAGAGATTATCATAGTAGCACAAAATACACTTAATTTTTTGTTTAGATGAATTCTCTTCCAACTTTATTGCTATTATTATGGGATTTACCTGATGATAGCATTAAGTCTGTCCATCTGTGAAGAAGACATTGTAAGTGGGCATTTATGGTATACCTCTCTCTAGTAGCCTAGAAATAGGCTGTGTTGTGGAATTGCCCATGCTTTCTGTTATATAGCATTTGTATTTGAGAAAAGCAATGAAGAATTGGCTGGAAAATGATTTTGTTATCTGTTTTGGGAATTCCACGAGAGACTTTAAGTGAAAAGAAATTGTTTTCATAAAATCTTCCAAAAGAATTGTTTTTGTGACACCCTTCCACCTCCCAGATAAATGTGAAAAAAATCAGCCTTCCATTTCTTATTCCTGATTTAATATGGTCATGTAACTTTAGCATAGGTGCTAAACATTCTTGAATAGTAATTATTATCAATCCTTATTTTTAAAACCATGAGTAGCAGTGGTTTCCAACTGTACTTCAGTCACCATTAGCGTTCAGTCAGGTCAACAGGTTTAGTTGTCAGTGCTGATCACTGAATATTTCTGGCTGTCTACTTTCCAGGCATGTAGTAGGATAGCACCTCGTCAGCACCTCATGGTTGGGTGGGGCCATGTGATTAGTTCTGGCCAGTGAGTTATGATCCAAAATTCCAAGTGTCACTTTCAGACTAGAACATTTCACTGTGAAAACATCCAGAGTTCACCTCTCTGCTAGAGCAACCAGAAATGCTTAGATGGTGACTGCTCTGACACCTTGGATCCCAGAGTGAGGACCACATGGCACAGGATCTCCAGTCAATCAACAATAGATATGTGGCATAAGAGAGAAATAACCTTGTTATTTTAAGCCACTGAGAGTTAGAGGTTGTTTGATAAGCAGCCTTACTAAGACTATCCTGATTGACACATAAATGTTTTCTGAAAAATAAGTTTTCATGGTCCAATGAGTTGAAGACTTCTTCAGTGCAGGACTTCCATCAGTGTGCTATGCAGATTGTGACTCTCCAAGAAGGGGATTTGGTGCAATATTTCTGAAATTTATTGGTGGTCTATGGAACAAAAATGAAAGCATGCATGAATGTTAATACTATACCAACTCAGAAATACACTTTGGGGCAGGACTGTCTGATAGTGAGCTAATCTTTTGTAACCTATAACACACAGCAAATCAGCAATGCACCTTGACAATGGTACCACTTTCCCTCTTAGATCTCTGGGTGTTACTTAGACCTTCCACTGGTCCAGACCCACTCTGATGACCTTTCTTGAAATCATCCTACTCCCAAGACCAGGGGCTCCCCTCTTAAGTACTATGACCACACTACATTAGGTTAAAATAATCGACAAATCTTATATTGAAGTAGATTATAATATGTTCCAGGTCTCCATGAAATCGCTCCAGGTCTCATGAAGACGCTCTGTCATTTACCTGTTGGTCATAGTCTGTGTGTTGGGGGGGATCTCTCCCTGGCACGGTCCATGATTAATGGGGCCAGTTACTTCCTCTCCAAGAAGACCAGGCCAGAAGCATCTTCTAACTCCTATCTACTCCTAAATTCCAGGCATCTGTTATTTTCCTGGTCACCAAAATATCCACAGGGAAATTTTTAAAGTTTGTATCTGAGTCTTTCATGTACCAAAAAGAGGCCTTCTTTTTGGACCCCAAGGCATTGGTCTCTGCATATGCAGCAGCAGGATTTTGTGACGTTCAGATAACACCCTGCTCACCAAGAGAATCCTTCATTCTGCCTTTCCTTCAGCTAACATTCATTGAGCTATTCCTGTGGGCCAGGAACTGTACTAGGCACTAAGAATAAAGTTTGTGCAAAAAAAAAAGGTCAGATCCCTCTTTTCTAGGAGTTTGTCATTTACCCAAGACACAGAAATTACAATTAACCACAACCATGATAAATATATTGAAAGAAATATATTTTCTTTTCTGCAAGTTTCTGTGAAGCTGTAGTGCGGGAAATGACATTTAAAGGTGACGTAAAGCCTGAATAGGAGTTACCCTGGTTAACAGGAAGGAGGGCCAGGGCAGAGGGAAGAGCAGGTGTGAAGGCCCTGAGTCAGGAAGGAGCATGACACACCTGAGAGAAGGTTAGCTGAGCTGGAGTGTGGAGAAACTGGAAAAGAGTGGGAGACGAGACTGGGCGTGTATGCAGGAGCAGGTGATATGTCTGTGTGTGTATATGCAAATATACATATAAAACAGTATAGCTAAATGGCCCAGGAATACATATCAAGGGAGTCAGTGTTGAAACTGGCGCTTCTGATTTTTTGCTACCCCGTGTTTGCCCATGCTTTTATCATTGGTCTTTTGACAAATGATGACTGTTGATCCTTACCTAAATAAGATAGTCTGTACTTAAATCTGGGTTCCTTTAGGTCCTACTGAAATGCAAGATCTCATTAATTAGACCTTAATTCTCTTCCATAATAGTTCCTATTCATTCTCATATTATGCAGCTAAGAGCTAGATACAGGGGATTGAGTTCCCAACAATGACCAGGGTTGGTGGGCATACCTCTGGGCTAGCAGCAAGTGATAAGGTGGTTGATAATGATATAGTAGGCTGCAGTTTTCTACAACCTTGGACGTGACGTGGAATGAAACAGATAACATTACTCATCCTATTGAAACACATTCCAATTTCCTTCAGTTAACATGCATAAGGTTTCAATTCAAAATGGTTTTCTTCTCAGAATGACTCTAGAACAATCTATATGTTTGATTTCTGTCTTCTTGATCTCTTAAAAATTGATGTGATTTTTCTATTTTGCTTCCACTTTAACTACATTTTAAATCTATTTCTCCAATCATTTTTTGTTATATTCTGGAGGACAATCTTTTTGGAATTCATAATCCATCACTGTGTGATCCACCATCTGTCTCAAAAAATATAGAACCCATTTACATGGTTATTTAGGCTTTGAGGTTTGTGCAATTTCATTATCTGTGATCAAGTCATTTGTATGATGGAAAACAGTTTGTCTTTGACAATTTTCTGATTCTTGTTAAAATGAAACTTGGATGTTGAATATCAAGGGTTTTTTTTCACCATTTCGTTTTGAAATGAAATGCAAAAAAGAACACATCTTTCTTTGATATTCAACTTCTATATTTTGTGAAAATATCAAATGCATTTAAATAAATGATAGGTGTTCAAGTCTTATTTTCTTCTTAAGAAGAAAACTTACAATTAAGCAACAATCATTTAAATCATGCTCTTAGAGACATATATACTATTTTATCATTTTTCATACCTGCCTATGTATTTATAAATATAGGGCTTATTTGAAATTAATCCTCTAGGCTCTGTAGTGAGGATTTTCACCAAAAATGAAGTACATTAGTATCTCTGCTAACTGAAACTTGCAGGAGCAAATGTTCAGTGGTGGCAATGCAGATTGTTGCTGTATATAATGCCACTGGGCACGTCCTTGAGAGATGTTTCCATAGCTGTAGAGGAGATATACTGAGCTACCTATAATGCCCACTGAGTTTCTTTTTCACTCAGATACACTTTTTTTTTGGTGTGCATTATATGTTGAGGACAATAGAAATATCACAGCTTCCTTTCTCTACGTTAATCTTCTCTCTTTTCTTGACAGATCTGTTTTCTTACAGGCATTACTAAGACAAAACTCGAGGTGCTTTTGGACAAACTGGTTGGGTTTAAGCCCCCTCATCCAAGAGGCATTGTGAGATTTGTATTATTTGTGCAATATCCCAAGGTAACACCAATAAGTGCTTTACAAGGAACAGAAATCATCTGACAGTAATCTAATCATGCTTTTCCAGAACAAACAATATAAGGCCCTAGAGGTAATAGGGACAGGAAAGAGTACAGTGCAAGCAATACTCTTTTGTATACTCTGGGGGAAAGCAGCACACAGCATACAGTTCTTAGAGCCAGCAAGCTTCATAAAGGAAGCGGGTATGCTGGGTTTCTTTGCAGCAGGAATAGGAGCCGTGTTGACGTGCACGAGATGGGAGGTCTGCGGGGGAGGATGACGCCGGGTGTTGGCCTGAAGTTATGAGTGCCTGAATCTGATGGTTAACGATGCCAGAGGAGATGACAGGGCCAGAGGAAGGAGTGGGGTCGGGTGCGGGTTGGGGGCTGTAGGAAGGATGTGGAAGAGTTGTAAGCAGGTGCAGAGTCGCGGGGAGGCTGGAAGGTGAAGAGAAGCCAAAGCAGAGTGGGAGAAACATAGTCTGAACAGCAGGAAAGGAAAATGGACTTGGCAGTAACATTTGGCAAAGATTGGCGTAGGGAACCGAGGAGAAAGAGGCCGATGAGAAGGAGTTTGTGTAAATCAAGGCAGGATGTGATGAGTGTCTTGGCAGCA